AAAACTGTGAAGTGCCCACACATTATCAGCTTCCACTTGCAGCCACATCTCAATTTCTTTTTTAAAAGGCACCTGGCATTACTAGGGGGCCACCAAGTTTCCCCCTTTGTACTGCTAAAAGGTCCTTTTTTGAAATCAGGTTTCTTCTGTACCTCTGAATCGGTAACACCTTAGAGCCAAATCATCTTTAACCTGGAAGTCTAACATGATTTTTTAGCAATTCTTGCATCCCAGACATACAACATGAAAAGGTACACTAAATTCTGAAGGTAGCTAGGCTGCAAAATAGTTCAAAATTAACAATTGTACAGTATTCATTTATGCTTGAAATTCCAGTCCAAGACCAAGTTTCTGGGCACCGGCGTTGACACTATTGCCATCCAACAGAGCTGACAGTGTCTCAGTTTGATTCCTGGCTTTAGGGTCTGAGTGTATCCTAAACCAATCAGGCTGCAGTTGGTCATTTTGGCCGAGCAGCAGGCATCAGGGTGGAGCTGATTCTTGGCTGCTATGCCGAAGAGAGCGCCGCTGTTTCCTGCTGTCCAGGAGAGATTGACAGCGGTCTCCGGCTTCTTGTTCACCTGGTAAATGGAGCCAACAGCTTCTGTGCCATCATTCACATTAGTGTGAAACTGGGACTCATCCATCTTGCAGCCAACTTCAGAGTTGCTCTGCGCACTCGGGACTTTGCAGTCTCAAAACTCATCTGGTAGCCAGCCAGCACTCGTAGCCCAGTACCAGGGCGCCACGGATCAAAGGCCCTGGGATGTCGAAGTCCATGTCACAGCCTCGGTTGATGCGCTCCCGTGTGAACCCCGTCTTGATCTTTGCATTGTTTTTCCCGGTGTTAGGCGAGAAGGATGAATAGAAGGTCAACTTCGGTCCTCACGCAAGCTGATCCTCTACAGTGATCTCTGTGCCAAGGGTGTTGTCCGTGTTCCATTTCTCCGTGAACGCCAGGCCATACTCTGCCCACCTTGGTTTCCAGACTGCCTGTCACTTTGGAAGTCTCTGCGTTGGCTGAGCCCGAGCTGGTGAATTCCAACCCATTCTCAGACTTGGTTTTCAAATCAAGATTTATTAATTCAAGCCTGTAGCCCTTGGGTGAAGACATACCAGGCAGCAGCAGCACCCCGGGGCTGCAACACCGGGTGGTACGGGAAGCTGAGCCACGCTGAGCAGGAAAGGTTTATGTAGTTCACAGTTACTGGAAGTTTCAGTCCATACGTAGCTGGCTGCAAGGTAGAGTGGCACATGGCAGAAAGCAGCCTTTCATGGCATCAAAGAGCAGAGAGCAAGTGGAAGGAGTAGCAGCATCAATGGCTGCAGAGAGCAAGTCTGTCTCCCTTAAATCGCATTCAGGCATCAGCCCCAGGCTCGGTGTAGTACTCCCACCCATAATCCCAGCAGCACTCATACGCGTAATCCCAGTGGATCATGAGTTAATCACAAACTCTAGAAGTCTGCCCATGACTGCATGAGGCGTTAGGGGCACAACTAGAAACAAACCATAACACACAGAAAGTGAAGCTGTTGAGAAAAATCTGACAACAGGACCTATATAAAGTTTATGTATTTATTTAAGTCAATTACATACCTATAAGACAGGTAAGTATACAGAAGCCTCATAAACTTTTGGGGAGATTAGGGCTCATGTTAATATTTTTTAACCTCTTGCATTAAAACTAGTGTAGAAAATTAGTGTGTTGAGAGCAGGGGCTCTTGTCTTTCCTGTGTTTTATGTACACCTTTGGCAACTTGGTAAAGCCCCTCCTCAGAATAATGGTTTATAATGTCCATGCAATCGTATGTGAGAAAATAAAAGTTACTTCAAGCTTTAAAAATCTTCCTTACTATTGACCATCCTAGAATAAAAGACAGAAGCAGACTCAAAATTACCAGAAAATAGCATGCACAGAAGCACACACTTTTTTCTAGCTATTTGGGAGGTTGGGACAAGAGATCTGAAGTGTAAGCCCAGCCTGGGTAACTTAGCAAGACCTATCTCAAAATAAAAATAAAAAATGGCAGCAGAGGTCAGATGTGTTTCTGATCTGCAGGGATTGTGGAAATGTGTTCAGATGCCACTGGACATTTAAGATCTGTAACCCAGAAAGGGTCCAGTGGCTGGCTTTATTAATAAATCTCTGATGTTTCCCTAAAATAACATTTTTAAAAAGGCAGGGGAAATAGTTCCAATGCAGAGCACTTGCCCAGCGTGTTTGCATTTAGTGTGTTGGATTCAATCCCTGGTACTGGAAAAAAAAAAAAAAAAAAGACTACAAACAATATTTCTGCCAAGACACAGTAAACCATAAAAAGTGCCATAATATCCTCCTGCTCTGTTACTGAGAAACTTTGTTCTTTAAAATTAGAAAAAGATTTCCTGTTTGAAATTCTATCTGCAAAAATGAATTATTCCACCTCTGTTTGGAAAACTTCAGCCAGCCTCAATTTACAGCTCAGAGAGATGCAAAGTTTCTGATAGAGGGTTCTCTGGATATGAAATTCCATGTGTATTTTAACAGCAGAATTAGCAAGGAAATAGGACTGAGGTAGGAGGTAGAACAAAGACAAATAAACAACAAGCAGCTGTGGGGAAGAAATGAGAGGCCAGACAAAGTACTGTGTCCCTCCAAGACTCCCTGGCATATACAAAACCAAAAGTACAAGATTGTGGAAATCTCATTTACATTGTGGATTTGACACCCCATCACCCCACCCCATCCATACTAGGCTTTGGATACCATGACATTTCCTCTAAAAACCTTGTAGGGTTAAAAGTTCTCCTCTCAATTGGTATGCTAAGTGAGGTAGCTAAACTATGATTTCCGTCAACTAGTTCTTCCTATAATCCCAGGACATTCAGAGACTCAGTGCCTGCCCCTTTCACAACTGTCATTCATTCTTATGGACCTATTCCTATCCTGTAGAGCAGTTTAGCTTCTTTCACTTTTAATAAATCTTCTTGTTACTCCTGAGTATCCTGCTCAATTCTTTCTTCTAGATACCAATAATCTGGAAACAACTCCTAGAGGCCCTTCCATCCTATTAACAGGACTGTGGGTCCACTATGTAGCCTAGACCTCCTGTAGCCTCTGTGTGTTGACCGCAGTCTTGCTTTGCTCTGAGCCTGCCAAAATACTGCTCATTTCAATTTCATCAAAACTCCACCCTCTCCAAATGAACCTCATATAGCAATGGCCTCAATAAATCTGACTTGTCAGACTCTACTGATGTTCCTAGTAATCTGAGGCCAATTGGGCAAAGGCAAGAGGGAAATCAATTAGGTTAAAATTCAGTTATATCTGTGGGCCTAAGGGTTTAAAAGCCATGGACTAAAGGAAAATATCTATTACAAAGGAGAATAAAGCAACCATAATCTACAGGTATCATTGGCTTGGGATATCAGGTCACAGTGTAATCCAACTTGTCTCAGATGGCAGTACTGGATCAGAGCACACGGGGTTACCAGAAGGCTACCGGGACACACATGAGGAAAAATACCAGACAGCTCCCTGCATAGAGAGGGGACTAAAGGCCCAAGAGAGGGTCCCCATTTCTGGCCAAGGTCAATCTGAACTTGTTTTTGTATCACTGAGCTGGATGGTAAATTCCACTGTGTCCTGACACATGGTTCCATTAACTGTAAATGCTCCAATAAGGCTTTAGGACACTGTCTTCCTTCATTACTTTCTATGCCTTGCTCAGGGGTGGGCCCACACAAGTTCTCTTCAAACCATACATTCCATTTGAGCTGTTAATGGCTAGAATGCTTTCCCCTCTCCCCTAGGTGGGTCTTTGGGGAAGCCAATTCAGCTGTCTGGGTGTGACGTTAAGACTTCTCAAAACAAGCCTTAGACAAAGTGGATGTTAAAATAGGGTCCTGCCTGAACCTCCCCAGAGCTCAATCTGGTGCAGCATGTGGACAAATATGTGTCTGTGTGTGTTGCCTGTCAGACTTGAAGAAGCTCCCAACACACACACACACACACACACACACACACACACACACACACACAGATTCTGGCGGTCACTCTAACTAGAGGCTACCTTGCTTTTTCTAATGCATTTACAAATATTACAATTCACACGAGCCACAGGTAAAGTGAAAGATTTTAAGTCCTGGCCTAAGAGCTTTGCAGGCTGCTCTCTTTATTAACAGGTGACTATGTGACAAGCTCTTTAATGAATGGCGCACAGGAATAAATCGACACAGGCGTACATGGGAAGCCACCAGGGCCACACGAGAATCATGGCAGCGGATCCCATCGTCACTTGAAGTGGTTAAGAGGCCCAGGCCGAGAAGGCAGCATAGAATCATCTTCCCTGGTAAGTGAGAGCCCCAGCAAGAGGGTGGTCACACGGACTAAATACCCTTGGTGTTCAGCACTGTCACTAGCCCAGGCAGGCGCGTACAAGTCATTTCTCATTACTGGCCCCACAATTTCTTCCTCCCTGCCTTCACCAACCCACGTAGACGCTTCTTCACGCAAACGCTGCTGGCACCTCTTCTGGGCCTGGCGCCCTGGGTCAGGGCTGCAGAATACGGAAGAGAACCCACAAGGAACTTTGGTGGGTTCTGTTTTGGTGGATGGGGCTGCGGTGGGAAGGAGAAGATCTCGATAGAAGAGATCTTTACACCGAGGCTTGAGGCCAGAGGTGCTGCCTGCACTCGCTGGCCGCAGAGAGGGGGCCTCGGACCTGAGGGGATACTCTGGGCCCTTACTCTAGGTTGTGCAGTCACACGCGCGGTTCCAGCGCAGCAAAACCCCTTAGCCCGGGCAGCGGGCGGACAGGGGGGAGCGAGTGGGCGGGGCTAGCGGGCGGGGTGGAGCAAGCGAGCGGGAGGGTGGGCAGGGCGGGGCGAGCGGGAGGGGTGGAGCAAGAGAGCGGGCGGGAGGGTGGGGCGGGGCGAGCGAGCGGGCGGGTGGAGCGAGCGGGCGGAGCGAGCGGGCGGGGTGGAGCGAGCGGGCGGGGCGAGCGGACGGGTGGGGCGGAGCTATTGAAACACGCAGCTAGTGCGGGAGGTGTCGGTGTCGCCCGGAAGCGCCGCGAGCCACGGGATGGCGGCGGCGGCGGGGGCTTTGGATACGCGGCGCTGGCCTCTGGCAGTGCTGCTGTGGCTGGCGGGGGCTCAGGGCTGGTATCTGGCCTCGGGCGGCCCCTGGCCCGTGCCCTACAAGTGAGTGCGGGGTGCAGGCCCGGGACGCGCGCGGCCGATGGGGCACCGGATGGGCGCAGGTGCGGAGGCGGCCTCGGGGACCCTGGGCTTGGAGCGCTGTGGAGCCCGCGGGAGTCCCGCCGCTCCGGGCGTGCGGGCTGGAGCCCAGCGCAGCGCTGCCCCTAATCGAGGAAGGAGCGAAGGTCTGGCTACTGTGTTGAGCGACTTCAGATTCAGGAAACTGAGTCCTTGAGCGGTTCTGAACACTTTTTAGGTTTTGGTTTATTACTTAGGTCGTACACTGTCAGCAGTCATTACTGCATAGTATTTAATATTTGGGGTGACCAGCTTGCACCATTTGGTAGTGAGCGACCCCTTCCAGGGCTAGGGGAAAGTTGACCATTTATTTTGTCCACTTTCTTCAACCTGGAGGTGGAGCACTGATCAGAAATCGAGGACAAATCTATGAAGCTGATTTTTTAAAAGTGCTGGGCATTGAACCCAGAACCTTCACACTGTAAATTATTTTTGAGACCAGCGTGCCGCCAAGTCCCTAAATTATCCAGACTGCTATCAAACTCGCAGTCCTACCTCAGTCATTCCAGTTTGGACGAAGGAGAGTGGTGCCCCAGGATAAAACTGCTGGCGGTAGCTAAACACAGAAAGCAAGCCAGGAGACCTGAGGCAGGGGGAAAGGCCTGCAGGTTTTGAATATTCACACCTGTTTTGCTTGGCAGACTGAGTTCCAAGGCAGGAGAATCTCTGGTAAATTCCGGGTGCCTCTTGCCCGCTGCAGATCAAATCTAGCCTCAGCAGATCATGGGAAAATTACTCATTACCCCCTTGCTCACAGGTGCTGAGTTAGAAAATGAGACCGGTAGTGACACTTCTTTTTTCAGGATTAACTCTGTAGTAAAGACTACCTGTTGTCAAAACTAAATATTCATGTATTCTGCTCATAGAGTGTTTATACTGGGTCAATATGAAAAGAGGTCAGAGGTACAGGCCTGAAATCTAACGAGCTGGGAGGCTTAGTAGGAGGGTTATAATTTCCAAGCCAACTTGGACAGTATAGAGGCCTTCTCTCAACAAAAAATTGAAAGGGGTTGGGGGACAGGGCTGTAAGGTAGGGTCATGCAGTGCACTGGCGTGGCCTGCTTGGTGCCTTGAGTTCACTTACCGGTACTCTTAAAAAAATAGTTTAAGGTTGAAGCTGATTTGTCTTGAAAATGTTAAAATATTTAAAAAGAAGTAAAAATTAAATGTCCAAGAAAACCAGGAGATTATAAATCCAAAATATTTTATATATGCCTCATAGTCACTGGTGATGTCTTCTTACTGTTCTTCAATTTTTAGCTTATGTCCCTTTCAGTTCCCTTAGTTGATTATGTTTACCTGTGTTAAGCTCAAACTCTAATTATGCTTTATAAATTATGTTTGACCTAAAAAAAGATTGTGCTGTGGGCAAAGAAACCTACATATAGTTATATATTTGTTTAGACCAGGTAAGTACCTAAATTAAAATAGAAAATTTTGTTTATGTGTTAGGATTGTTACAAATTACATCTGACTAGAACCATGGGCAACATTCTTAGAGGATTTAAGCTGCTTCTCATTATTCTTTTTCTCCCAGTGCCAAGGATAGGTGACTTAGTAAGTGCCCACTTGGGCACCATCCTTATCCTGTGGCTCTGGGCTTCTCTGGTCCTGTCATCTGCATTATCACAGTTACTTCCTGACTGTCTCTCAGCGTTAACTTGAGCCTTTCCTGACTCTTTCCTATTTGCAAGTCAAGGTTTACTTTACAGCATGTTCAGTCCCATCAGATCTGCTGCTGTAGATTTTTCAAGCTTGATCAGGGCTCAAGCCTGCCCAGCCCTAGCATCCTAGGAGTGCCTTTACCTCTTCATCCCTAGGGTCTGTGAGGCTGCTGCTGGCTGCCTCTGCCCTCTGCACACCTGCCCTAACCCTAGCTCACTGGAGACCCACAGATGTGCATACTTGTCTTACAGTACTTGCTTTCTGTCCTAACCTTGTGTACAAATACTTCATGCCTATTTGCTTATCTTCATCTCTTGTTCCTTTCCCATCAAGGAGAAATGATTTCTCTCATCTCTGTGCCCTCGGACCTTATGTCCTTAGCTTATCACTTACCCCAGTGCACTTCATGGCTTGTTTAATGTCTTCCCAGCTCCCAGCATTTTCATTTTTGTTTCTCTCCTCCAGTCTAGCCTACATGTAGTAGATTCTCAATAAATATTGGTTGAATAGATGTAAGTTATTTCTTAAGTAAATATTAAATATATTTCCATATTATAGTTTGTTATTAAAGGCATTTTAAATTTGTTCACAGGATAAGTAAAATGTATGTTTGTATTTAGTTACTATGGTCTAAGCTTTGGATGTTTTCCCTAAAAACGTTTCGGTGAAATGAAAATCAGGATTCTAAAGTTATGTGAACCAAATTCCTCTGAGAGCGTAAGCTGATGGCTTCTCTTTCTTTCTTAGACGTTTTTCCTTCCGTCCAGAGCCAGATCCTTACTGTCAGGCTAAGTACACTTTCTGTCCCACTGGCTCGACGATCCCAGTTATGAAGAATGATGATGTCATTGAAGTGTTCCGACTACAAACCCCAGTGTGGGAATTTAAATACGGGGACCTGCTGGGACATTTTGTAAGAATGTGTTTTAATCTTGTAACTTTGGGTAATTAAATGATTTAGTTATTAAATTGAGTTGAACTAGAACTAAAATCAAATATATTGATTTACCCCTAGCATATTAAATGTGAGTAGTCAAAATTTCATAATCAGATTTCATAATCCTGGCAGTTCGGTGCTTTTTAATGTTATTAATCTTAACCTACCTGCTGTACCTCGTTCTTGGAAAATGAGCAGGAAGAACATGGTAAGAAGCAAGTCGGGTAGGAAGCAGTTTTTTTTTTTTTTTATACTAAGTATTTTATTATATGTTGGCACCAGCGTATATAAAATACCCTTGTGAAATAGAAATTCATGAAAAACCAGAGAGGTAGATGTTAAGGACTGACAAAGTAGAAGTTTGTATGTTATAGCACATGTCAAGAAAGGGGAAGTTTTTGTACAGGCTTCAGTTTTCTTTTTCTGAATAGTCACTGGTTGGTTAAAAGTGGTCTGGGAAACTCTTTAAGAATTCATTTGACTACAAAAAGGAACAGACTTCCTGAGGTCTGAAGGGATTTGTACTTGAGGATACTCCAGTCAGCAGAGGATCATGCTGAGCATTCTGCAGGCAGAACTGTTGTAAGTCTGCAGCTGCCTGGGAAACCTTCACGCGGTTGAGCCCGGCCTCCAGCCGGAGCTGCTGAACCACTTTCTTCATGGTGGTGACGCTGGAAGAGCCAGACATAGTACACCCGAGGGCCAGGCCAACACTAGGGCCAGGGCAGCGCAGCGAGGGTCAGCAGGGCCAGGAAACAGTTTTGATTTTACTTTTCCAGGTTAGCATGTAACTCTGAGAGGTATGTTGAGTTCCTCCCTAGAACTGTGGCATGCAGGCTTCTTGTACTTAGTTGAAGGTTAAGAAAATGATGTTTCCCCATAGCCCATATCCCTCCTAGCTAAGATGATAAGAAGCCAAAAGCAGAGTGGATGAGGTCCCTGGAGTTGAGATTGTAGCGGGATACAAGAAGAGTGACACAGAAGAAGAGTTGAATAGTTTTTTTTTTTTTTTATTTTCTGCTACAGATGTGCATTTGTAATACACCTTGTTTTTTCCCATCAGGTCACCTGAGCCCAAGATTACTTCACAGATGCTTTCATATGTATGTTATCTTTATACAGAAAATTATGCACGATGCCATTGGATTCAGGAATACCTTAACTGGCAAGAACTACACAATGGAATGGTATGAACTTTTCCAACTTGGCAACTGCACATTTCCCCATCTCAGACCCGAAATGGATGCCCCTTTCTGGTGTAATCAAGGAGCTGCCTGTTTTTTTGAAGGAATTGATGATATCCACTGGAAAGAAAATGGGACACTAGTTCTAGTAGCGACTATATCAGGTAAGCTGCAAAAATATGCCAGTATTGATGATGGTGTCATTATGTGAATTTCACATAATTTCACTCCATGTGAATGAAATGCTCTTTTGGAACCCCTCCACTGTGACCCAAATAAGTACTCATTGATAACTTCGTAGGTGATATGTAGCTTATCTCTTGCTCTATTCTATAGAAAAAAAATTACTTTGTAATACTAAATTGGATTTTCTAAGTAGGGTGATACCTCAGTGCCTTCTTTCCACAATTCTAATGGTAAAGTGGATTGGACTAGAATCAAATTAGATTTCCACATAAGCTCAATAGTGAACCAAGCCACTGAATTTGACATCTACTCTAATCCCTTTCAGTTTACCTCCAGAATCATGAAAAAAATTAAGTCATGAACCAAGGTACCACTGTGAAACAGGAAAAAAAAAATCCCTAAAGTACCTGACTAAGGGCCTGTTCACTATATCTAATTTTATAAATGTATCTAACTTACCTAACTTTTATGTGTCTACCTAAAAAATATTTTCATGTTGAGGCATAGCCCCTACTCACATGGGCTTAGAGTGGGCCAGCATGAGTGCTGTACATATGTCACATTTATCACAATAGTTATTTTCCCCTTGTACGTATGGAGAGAGGTTAAAGTTACAGCCAAGGTACCCTGGAAGTGAACCCCAGTAGGTCATTCTCTTTAACAATTTTCGCATGTTACCTCCCTCATAAAAAAATTATATATGGGGGGAGGTGCATGTCTCCTGAGCACTTTAAATATTTTATATCTGAGTTTTCCTCTTGGATGTATAAAAAATTACTAGTACAGTTTTACATGTGCTAGTGATGAAAGGAGTTCAGCAGAATATCTCATCAGTAGCTTACTGGCATATTGCTTCATATATGGAATGCTACCATCATAATTTAGAATAACTTGCCTATGTCATTTATAGAGTTCTACATTACAAAGTGATACCCACCCCCAACTAGAAACATCAGAAACAAGGGCAATGTTTGTAGTAACAGTCATTTGTTGGATCCCAGGACTTGAGGCTTTCTACTTTTAGCTTTTACACATCTCTTTAGGGTGTGTTAACTCATAATTCTGTGGGGAGAGCAAGATACCATTTGTCCTTTTATGAATGAGGAATTGAGGCTCAGCCAGGGAAGGTGACTGAATTTTCATTCAGTCATCGACCTGGATAGAGCAGAACCTAAGCTAGAACTGAGATCCTATAAATGTAGTCTGGAGATCCCTTAAGTAAGAACACAGGGCAGTTTTCTAATTTCTCTCCTATTTTTTCGTCAGTGTGTCCCAAACCATCCGAAACAATATAAAAGTCCGAACAATATAAAAGTCCACCTCTTTCCACAGTGCTCAGTAAAATGATTTGCTGCTCTTTCTTTCTAGGCCAGTTCACATCTCTCTTATCTCCATTTCTACTTACGTTGTTATCTGAGTTTACATTCTGACCTACACTGATCATATGAATAAGTGATCTCTGTATTGTAGTTTGTAATATGCTACTAGTTAAATATTTTGTCCATCTAACTTGTGATCATGTTGGGTCAGTGACCTTTTCTTCATATTACAACATAGTGTTGTGAAGTACAACAGTGGTGTAGCTCTGAGTACAGCAGCACCTTTTTAGAGTTGAACACTAGGAGTAGTGCCGCCTGCTCTAAGGAAAGTTTTTATACCCTTCCACAATTTAAATTCCATTAAATTGATTAAGGCAGGTGCTCTATTTATTTTACAGAACATGGAGTATTTATTTTATAGACTGCAGTTGGGGTAGCCACAGTAAGGTTCAATACGATGACAGAGTGAAATACTGAGGCCCAGAGTGAAATATTGAGCATTATATGGCAATGTAGTGCTTCGTATTTTCCAAATATTTGGAAAGATGCTTCTTGTTTAGTACAAAGGGATAGTAGCAAAGAAGGCTGACCAACCTAGAATCTTTGGCCAAAACGTTCACAATTTGGTTGGGTCTTTGAAAAATTTAGTAGACAAGTAGGGAAGTCATTAACTGCATTCCAACAGCTGCAAGTGGTAGTGGTGGGGTCATACCCTGTGTCCAGGGTCAGTGGCTATGGCTCAAACTTATTTCTCCTTGCATACCATGCTTTTAAGAGAAAAACACAACTTTATCCTTGTCTTCTGACACTGCCTTTGCCCATTCACCTTTTGCTTTTCCATGGTTCCTTCCTTGATTTCCTCTTCTGACTTTGAATCCAACATTTGAATGGTATAAAGGGCTTCTACATTTGTATAACCTGCCTTTTGACAATTGCTTAAATGATTATAGGATTAATAAGAGTTCTTTTTATGTACCTATTATATCTGATGTTCATAACTCAGAAATGCCTTAAAGGATAGAATAAAACCTGCTGATCTTGGATTACTGTCCTGAGATTTGGAAATCCAGAACAAATGTCTTATTCATATGCATCAGTAGTCTTAATCAGGTAAGACTATTTTACTTAAAGCTAACATTAGTTTGATGTTTTGTTTTTAAACTAGGAAACACATTTAACAAGATGGCAAAGTGGGTGAAACAGGACAATGAAACAGGAATTTATTATGAGACATGGACTGTCCAAGCCAGCCCAGGAAAAGGGGCTGAGACCTGGTTTGAATCCTTTGACTGTTCAAAGTTTGTGTTAAGGACGTATGAGAAATTAGCTGAACTTGGAGCAGAGTTCAAGAAGATAGAAACCAACTATACAAGAATATTTCTTTACAGTGGCGAACCTACTTATTTGGGAAATGAAACATCTATTTTTGGGCCAACAGGAAATAAGACTCTTGCTTTAGCCATAAAAAGATTTTATTACCCTTTCAAACCACAATTATCAACGAAAGAATTTCTGTTGAGTCTCTTGCAAATTTTTGATTCAGTAATTATACACAGACAGTTCTATTTGTTTTATAATTTTGAATATTGGTTTTTACCTATGAAGTTTCCTTTTGTTAAAATAACCTATGAAGAAATCCCTTTACCTAACAGACACAGAACATTCACTGGTTTGTAAAACCTTACTTCTACTTAATGCTTTTTTCTCTAACCACCAGCATCTGCTTTTTAGGGGATGATTTTACATTTGTGGCTTTCTCAGCCTTCATCCTCAGGTAAAATGCACATTGGTAGAGTTGTTGCATATTAATTAGTATTTCAAAGACTATTCTTGGAAAGCTGAAATTGTTATGCTGGCAAAAATAAACATGTTAAGTGGTCTTGATTTCATATCCCAAGCCTATTAGTATGGAGAATGATGGTTCATGTGCAATACATGAGTTTCACTGGTTCCAGTAGTGACATTTTCACGTGGAAGTTATTTTTTCTTGTATGGCAATTACATTTTACTGTGAGTGCTTTGTGTTAGTTTCTTCACTGCTTTTGTAACTGTTGTAACCAGGTCTATCTAGTACTAATTTGTGTTATATTCACTTAACTTGAAAGACATGTTTGGGCAGCATAGCTGGAGAGACTTTGCTCCCCTATGTGGGAAAGTATTAAGAGCAAAATTTTATCATGTAGTTTATAACTGGTTTTTATAATTTAAACATCACTATACCTTAGTTTTCTATCTCTAAAATGAATCATCTGCCAGGATTGTGGTAAAGGTTGATGTTTGTTTGGCATAGTAAGGTCACAGTAAATGGTGGCAATTGTGATTAATCAAAGTGTCATCTTTAATCTTAAGTAATGTGGGTTACAGGCCAACGCTGCTGGATTTTGTAAGCATCTAAGACTTTGAGCTCATAGTGTAGTACTTCAGTTCTTTCACTATCTGGGGCATGGAATTATCTGGCTGCAGACATGTCTGGGTGGACAGATACTTCTAACTTCCCTGTTTCAGCAGTTCTCTCCTAGTGCTGTAGAAGAGCGTATCTTTGCAGACACAAGATCTCCCAGTCACTGGGGCACCAGACAAGCTTTTAAGATCTTTTATGTTGTAAAGAAAAATGTTGAATGCATTTTTTCTATTCATGAAAAACACACCAGTAAGATGGAGATCAGAGGAAACCATCTGTTTCATATGTAAATGGACCAATTATATGCTTCAGTTTTAGCTAACACTGGAGTGTTTCCTGAGAGGTTAGTACATTGAGCTCTCATAAAAGCCTAATCATATTGTTTACCTCATCCAGATGAGTTAATTGGGATCTCTAAAGATTAAGTGACCTTTCCATGGTTACTCACCTATTAGTAAGCCAAATACTAAATTCAGGTTCTGCTGAAGAAATTAGATACTCAAGTTTTTCAGTATTATTCAAATGTGCAGTCTCTGGACTGGTGCCTGGCTACCAAATGTTCCTGGTGTGAAATAAGTGGAATTGGAAACATTTAGAGGCTTTTAAAGCACCATTGTTTCTGTTGACTCAATTAAAAAACCAAAAACTTCTGGATCTTGTATTTTGTATGTCTTTATTTGTCTAGGTGTTCGTTTCTCAAGTGTAGTCCTGAGTCTAAAAACATTCAGTCACCACAGAAAGCTTGAGCAGCACTGTACTACACTATTCTTTCTAGTGACCCACAAGTAGCATTTTCTTCCACTGCCCATTTGGCCTGCAGTACCTAAACCACTCCTAATTAGGGTTACATCTATAACCCATTTAGGCATGTCACAAGAAACTGGATCTTTGCATTATCACCTTCTAGTGGCTAAACTCAGGTAACACCAGTTCTACCAGATTCTTGACATTTCACTGGTAAAAGTTATTTTGAATTTCCAGATCTGTACTGACAAAAGCAAATACTCTTATGCCAATTTTGCATCAGCTGCAAACCTCAGAATTTGGTTCCACAGGGAAAATAAAGCCATTTGATAATGGACTTTTGAGTTTTAAAGTAGAATTGTTATAAAAACCAAAATTATTCATTTGTTCCTAAGGATATGAATGAAAAAATTTTGTCCACTATATAGATTCAGATGGCAACAGCTAACAAGGCATAGCATTCACAAAAGTGTTTAGTATTTAAGAACTTAGTGTATTTACAAAATGAAGTACAACTTGCAGAGATGATTCAAGAACATGCTTTCAGGGCTGGCCAGGTAGCCCAGTGGAACAGGGTTCAATCCCAGGCAATGCTGTGCTGGCCCTGCCCATAGGGCACACAGAGGGTGAATGAGAATGGGTGCAGTGACATATGCCTATAATCCCGGTGCTTGGGAGGCTGAAAACAGGAGGCTCACGAGTCTAATCTGTGTAGTGAGACCCTGTACTGAATATAAAAATAATTTTAAAAAGAACACGCTTTCAAATGTAGTTGGAAAACCAAAATAAGCCTGGGCAGAAATCTGCCAATTAAATTTGGCTCTTGCTACTGTATGTGATTTCTATAATGTTGCTGAAATTATAAATATTTCTAAGAGGAAAATGTGGCTAAATATCAGGTAAGTTTACCTATATTGTCTAAATATTGCAGGGAGAACAGTCAGCAGGTCAAAACTAAGTATTTGGAGCTCTCAGTAGTGGCTCCATATTAAATTTCAGAAATAAAATTACTAATATTAGGGAAGTTTTATCCAGCTTTACAGTCTGCTCCATTAGCACTTAGTGAATAATAAATTTTTGGCATAGTATTCTAAAACATCACACACTTTCCCTATCAAAAGGAGAAGTGAAAATTTTTGTTTCCTACCATCTGCCTTGCATTCACTCTTTATCATCAAGTAGTCTTACAGTCTTCATATTTATCTTGTCTGGATTTCTCTAGGAATACATGCTTTTCTTGGATTGAATATTGTAAGGATAAACTCTTCATGGACTCCTTGTATATAATTTTATCCCCTCCCCATTTTTTATGTATTTGGTACAGGGTCTCACTGTGCAGCTCAGACTTGTAGTGATCCTCGTGTTTTCAGCCTCCCCAGTGCTGAGATTACAGGCGTGAGCCACCATGCCAGATTTGGTGGCATGCCGTACTGGGGTCTGGTACCAGGAATTGAACCCTGGTCCCTGCACTTGCCTAAGAGAGCATGCTTAGTCACCTGAGCTATCTCACAGGCCCTTGTGTCCTTTTTTTTTTTTTTTTTAAAGGAAGTTGTTGATCAGCAAGTAGGTGAGATTTCCCTGACTGCTTGGTAATAATAAAGAATTAGCCATACAGATAAACTGGAGTTTTTAATAAATATAAAAAATAATTTTTAGATTGCGGTTAAGTAATTTTCAACCATGCCTATTTCTTTTGTGATAGTGCTTAAATAGCCTAAACTACCTACAAATTTGAAAATATTTTCTGAAACACACTGCCAGGAAATGAAAACGATTTCTATAGTTTTTAAAAGAGGATACTTGTATTCAAGCATTATTTGTGTCTGAGAATTCTATTTCCAAAGTGCAAATACAACTTACTTTCTGTATGGAATTTTAAAAAATAAATTTGTATTTCATGTAAATTTCATTAGGCATGAGAGCTGATTTCAAGAATGGACTACAAATACCTAACCTTAGATCTTTCAAAACAGCAAACTACCATAAACAGTATTTAATATTAAACATTATATACCTATCAAAGATTTGAAGCTAACGCCATAAATGTGTAAATTTAACTAGTTTTAAAGTCAAACAAGTATGTGAGGGAAAAAATTTAATACAACAGCATTAGTAACTATCTTTATTCTCAAGTTGATAAAAGCATTTAACATTTTATAGTATAAACAAATTAAGTGCTATGCATTTTGCTTATAAAGTGACATATTTCCAAGCATTATATAATTTGTACAAAAGGTAAATTTTCAAATAAAACTTTGGTTAGTAGAACTGATAATGTACTGTCAAATCCATTTTCCAAAGTTAAGAAAAAAAAATTCACTAACAGTATTTCTTGTACAACTCAAGCTTTTTACTATTTAGTAAGAAGGGAAATGTTACATAATTGCTTTTAGTTTTCAGGTTTGGATCAGTCTTTATTCTCAATTATATGTGACTGAAGGATAGAGTACTATCACTTTTGAAAAGCATTATATAAAAATTACTTTTTATTTTTTAGAAAGGTCATCTATTTTTAGATTGCTACTTAGCTCCCATAACTACCAAGGTACCTCCTAAAAGTTACACTAGTGAGAGTCATTTCAAGCATTAGTATGTCCATTGGGTTAAGTCACTTCTAATTTTCCTTAGAAAAGTACTATCTAATAGCACTAGTGTTTACATACTATCTAAAGAAAAGAAAAACCAAAAAACAATCCCAATTAAATATAGCCCAAAACTTAATATTTTTTACATGTTCTATAGTGCATGGGTTTACCTTTATTTATAAGAAAGTAATATAAAACACTACTTAAATAAAAATAATCAGCTTAACCAAATTGACCACAAACTACAGATATTTTTCTATTAAATAATTTTCCAGTTCATAGAGCAATATTTACTCAAAAATATGATTATGAACTTAAATATCTCTTGTAGTGTTTAGCTGAACTGTACACTGGTACTCCTTTTAAAATTCTTTATGATTTAAAAATGCATGACTATATAATAACTCAAAAATGGAAAAATGAACCATCACTAAAATTCACTGAAGACTAATATTCTTTTATGGAAACACTTTATAAACATTTAAAAATTCTATTTTAAATTATTTTAATTTGGCTTTTTTGAAGTAAATAAGTTTTTCATTTCAATTATTTAATAATACTTAAAAACTAGTTTAAACAAAGCTATAACCAAGGAGAACTGGTAAGGCATTCCTCACTTACAATGTCTCAAGTGCCACACACATATCACAAAAAAGAACTTACACAGTTGAGCAGATTATAGATGAAGTCTAAAAGTTTATACAAAGCTAACTGCCTCCCTTCTGCTCCATTTATTTTAATTTGATCTTGGCTGTATGTATTGTCCTTCTGCAATCACTGTGTCACATTTATCAGTTTTCTAAGTGTTCCAATTACTGACATGTAATATCTCTTGTTTTAAACAGGCTTATAACATCTGTGAACATTCAACCATTTTTTTCATTACATATGACACTGTATATCCTACATTTTTCTCACAAAATGCTCACTTTCCTGAGCTATATTAAACACCTTATAACAGGTGTATGTATAACTGAAGACCCTAAAAATGTCAAGTTTACATTTTTAAAAAAATGCATAGAGAACATAACATTTCAAGAAACCTATTGGCATTCACTTATTGGATATTATATAGGTTTTTTGTTTCCATCAGACTATGAACTGTTTAGTCTCTATAACTATTTTAAAATATGAAATCACCTTTTTCTTTTACTTTTCAGACATTTGATCGCTACTAAGCTAAACAAACAAATGGTGTTTTCTGGCCTAGACTGAGTCATTATGTCTTCCAATAAACTATCCTTATATATATTCATTGGAAATAGCAAATTCTGGTGCCTCAAAATAGAATTATATCAGAACTACAGCAAATAAAATTTTATTACAATGTATTTGCTTGAAGTTAAGGTACTATCTGACATGCCCTATATAACTTCATCCTTACCAAGTGGGCATCATGTCTGGAAACCACACCCTTCCAAGGTGCTTAGACACCTCCCAATGAATCTGTTCCAAACTATACTTTTGGTCAGGAATTAGTACTTCTTCCATAATGGACAACTGAGACAAACGGCCACCACACATCTTCACAAACTCAACAAAGGCACTACATGAGACTTCACATTCCCCTAGTCCAATAGCTGACAAGTTTTTACAACGTTCTGCAATGCGAATTAACTCTTCATCAAGTGGCCGTAATCCATTAGCGCACACTACTAGTTCAACTAGTCTAGGGCATGTCATTCCCACACGGCCAAGCACATCTTTGCTTACTGATCTCCCAAAGTAAAGATGAGTCGCAGGTATTTCATAACGAAAGAATGGGTCAAATTCCTCTTCATATAAAAAAAAATACATAACTAAGTTCACTTTCGGTGAATGTTTGATGAAAGCATCCCAACTGCTCTTCTGTATAGTATGGAAGTGTGTCTGTCCAGGATTCTCACTGACTACATCAATACGCAAATGTTCTAATCGAACATGTTTTTCAGAAGACAGAGCAAGTAGCAATTCATCACTTAGTAAGTGGTAGTTCAGAGCCAGTTCTCGTAAGCCATGACACTGATCAGCCACACAAAGAATACCTTAGGAAAAAGACACAGTAATTAGAAGTTTTTATATAAGTTCTGTTTAAAAAATTTAATCAAGTACAGATACCACAAAAATACAATTTAAAATTTAGCTGTATAGTGCAATTAGAAGGTAACAAACATTACTAATTCTGTCTATAAGTAAATGAAATTTTAAATCATAATGGAGCTCATTTTTAACACAGGTAAATGTATTAATAGTATCTTTTTAAAAATCAACCATGACTAAGATTTATGCTAGTAGTGCATATATAGTGCCATATTTTAAGAAAAATGCTACGAACAATAAATATACACTTAAAAAATTATCATGAAGGCTAAATTATATTTTTTAATTCAAGACTTAATTCTAATAAAAAGGACAAAATATACACAAAACTATGACTTATGCAACAAATAATTATGAACCTTAAAAAAATCCAACAAATCAATAGTGCTTAACTGCTAACAGTATATCAAATTTTGGGGGTGGGGTGGGGAGACAGAGTGGTGGTCTCAAGTGCCTGCCTGGCAAGCGCAAGGACCTGGGTTTGATCCCCAGGACCACATGCTCATGCCAGCCCTAGAACCCCAGGTACACCATGCCGGGTACCAAAATCAGGCACGGTGGTGCACATCTGTAAACCCAGCAGCTGGGGAGGGTGAGACAAGGGTATCACTATGAGTCAGAACTGCGTAGTGAGACCCTGTACCAAATTAATAAACAAGTAAGATTAAAGAAAAGTATAAAAAGTCAATAAACACACAAAAAGATAATAGTTATTAAGGAAATATAAATCGAAACCACAATGAGGGCCAGGGAGATGGCTCAGTGGAATAAGCACTTCCCTGGCAAGCACAAGGACCTGAGTTCAATCCCGGGTTCCACCAAAAAAAACAAAACAAAAAAACCCACAATGAGACACTTATACCCACCAAGATGGCTATTAAAAGAAAGTTAGAATATGGAAAAGGAATGTAAAATGAGAAGCTGCTTTGGAAAATAATCTGGTAGTCTCTCAAATGAGAACGCTGTTACTGTATGATCCAGCAATTCCATTACCAGACATACATCTAGACAAATGAAACATATCCATACAAAAATTGGTACATGAAGGTTCACTTGAGCATTACTCAATACAGCCAAACCAAATACATACTATCCAATCAAAAGATAAATACTGTATAGCTATACATAGTACTCAAAACAAGATTACTCAGCAATAAAAAGATACTCAGTTCTACTTCATGACACAACATATGATCCTTGAAAATATGCACTTCATGACACAACATATGATCCTTGAAAATATGCTAGTGAAGGAAACCCAGACACAAAAGGTCATATATATAAAATACATGGACTAGGCAAGTCTACAGAGACAGAAAATGAATTGAGACTAGCTGTGAAAGTGGTCTTAGGGCTTGACAGTAGAAGAGCATGTGGTTTCTTACCAGAATAATAGTCTAAAGTTCCATGATAGTAATGCATTGATTTGTCAATATACCAAATCAAATGATGACTGTATAGTAAGTGAATTACATCTCAATACAACTGTTAAGAGACAAGTAAATCACTGGTAGTGTAAATACATACAACTGACTTATGACCTACATGACAAAAAAACCAGCAAAGACGATCAAAAATATTTGGATACTTTGACCTACAAATATTTTTGGTCAGTGTCATCCTTATCTGTGGTTTGACTTATATTCTGTGTGTTAATAGTTTCTAAATTATGTTCTCTTGAATTCCACAACTATGTGCTAGATAGCTGAGGGTTCAGTGTGCTAGAATGTCCATTTCTTAAGACTTTTTCATAAATTCATAGAGGCAAATTGCTACATGACAAAATAGTCGATTACTCTTTTTAAAATAAAGCAAAAAAAAAAAAAAGAAACAAGTGGCATCTAAGCTTAAAACACTATGATGCAAATGTTTACAAAAAAGATAGAATATTAAATAAACATTCCTTAGTTCCTCTGACATTAATGAGTATCTTATATAATGAGTAATGGTGCTAAGAGGTAAAGCTACAATAGGGACTAATTATCCTTATCCTAATACGAAGCTGTAAATAATTTAACAAGGATGTGATTGATGAACTTATTACAAGGGAATCAGGGAAGACAGCCCAGAACAAATATAAGACCTCCAAATTTTTTTTTTTTTTTTTTTTTTTTATTTTTTTTAGCAAAGGGTCTATAGGGTGTTCAGGGTCTCACTACTAGATCAGACTTGTAGTGATCCGCCTGTTTACAGCCTACCAAGTGCTGGGACTACAGGTGCGCACACCATACCAAATCTTAATTGCCCTCTCAGGGCACCCTGGGCGCAGGGCCGGCAAGGCAGGCCCAGGGATTGAACCCCTGGCCCCTGCGCCTGCTGGCAAGCACTTTAATCCGCTGAGCTATTTGGCTGGCCCCAACCTCCAAAATCAGAATGAAGGTAAGATACATACAGTGGAAAAGGAACAAAATACTATTTCCTGTGTGGACACTGACATAGAAATGAATACAAGCATTCCAATGAATGAAAGAGGTCAAAACACAGTATCCAAGTAAACTACCAAAAGATGCAGCCCAAAATTATAGGGAAAGGTAAAATCATACCAGACCTTGTAACTCTAGGTATACAGAGAATATAGTGACAAGTTTTAAAGCAAAATGAAGAAAATAAAAAGTTTAGAAAATTTTAGATTACATAGAAATCAGATTACATAAGAATAAGGCTACAAATGAGAAAATCTGTTAAGAGGGTACAAATTTATAGGGATCTGGTCTGTAGCAGTTATTCAGAATGGGGATGAAAAAAATTCAAAGCATATTTTGGTGATAGGGTAGGCAGACCTCAGTGACTGGAGGCATACAGAGAATATGGAGAGGCTCAATCAAGGACGTCTGTCATGTTCCCTACAGCTAGATGGACAGTGTATTTCCTGAGTCAACCTTAAAGGAAGAACAAGATTTAAAAAGGGCGATAGCAAAGTTCTTTAGTCTGAAGCACCAGTAAGACACTCAAGCATACTGGACTCTCAGCCATCTAACACATGGTTCTGAAATTCAAGAGAACCTACCCTAGAAGGTATTAATACACAGAATGTAAATCAAATCACAGATGAGGATGACAATGACCAGATTTCACAGAGCATAACTGAAAAGTAGCCAATACAGAGAGAGCACAGGGAAACACCAAAATTTAAGAAATGAAATGAAACCAGCAAAGGAAACAGCAAGAACAGAGAAGGAAGCAAAAATATCAGGAGAATAATATCAAGAAAGCCAACAGTCATTAGTTTCCAATGGTGCCTAGAGGTCCAGTTGTAACAACTATATTAAAAGGGAAAAAGGCTGACCGACTGTTCAGTAAAAAGCAGAAACAGAAACAGCCCACAATTCCAATTTGGAGGAAGAAACTGTCCAAATATTCAAAATATAAGATAGAATATGCATAAACAATGTATTTTAAGTTAAAACTCTTCTATAATTAAACTCTTCCATCAAAAAAAATTACAAAAATATTACACTTCTCTTTTCTTACTGAGCAACTGGTCCAACAGCCATCAGATGACAGTACATAAATTTACAGCATTAGAATAAATATGCATATTTAATAAAGTAAATGAACATAGATATCAGAATAAAGGGAAGAATGAGCTCACAGTTCTCAGGGAAACTAGAGACCCAGAGTTACCCTCTCCAACAGTGTGTAAACGATATGTTTAGAGTGCAATGAAAACACATAGCAAAATTATAGGGAAAAAACAAAAACAAACAAACAAAAAAACACACAGTAAGGGAGCTAAAGATGGAGGGGTGGTTAAAATAGGTTAACAGCTGAGCTGAATTTTGAAGGATGGACTGGAGTTAGCTAGATGAAGTTAGAAGTACTCCACAACATACAGTGTACTGAACACACACAAAGGTAAAAACTATAGTTCCCCAGGGCTCAAGTAGAATGATGAGTAGAAAACAAGATTAAAGAGATGGGTGGAGGTGAAAACAAAGGACTTTATACACTATGAAGCTATAAAGTATGGACCTTAATCTCATAACATATCTGTACAATATAGTAAAATGTGATCACCATCACATAAGAAGTGCTAAAGCAAAATGTCTTAATTTTCTTAATGTCTTACTTTAAAAGGGTACTTAATGATAAACAGGGACAACTAGGAAAATACAACAAGACTAGTCATTTCCTATGTAGGACGTTTGGGACTATAAGTAACCTCCATCTAAGAAGTGATTTCCTTAGAAAACTCTGAGCTTTAGTTAATGGCAAGAAAGTAAAAAGGCTTATTAAACAGTAGAACCATAGACAGAAAGGTATGTCAGTAGTGAAAGTCCAAAAAACAAAAACAGAGAATAATATGAAAATCTCATTTTACATTTTTTTTGGGGTGGATGTGGGGGGCTGAAGGGGTTGGGGAATACTGGGGATCGAATCAGGACCTTTTGCTTGCTAGGCAGGGGATTATACTGGTGTTAGTTCCCTGGCCTGCACTTACTTTTAATATAATCCATCTGGAATTAATTTCAAAATGAATATAATAGCAGTTAAATTCTATGGAAGAGAAGTGGCAAAGAGCTCTTATAATACTACTCTCCATGTGATGGCCTCTTGGTTCCAAAGTTCAACTTAAAAAAAGCACTTGCTTGTAAAATATAAGACAACCACTAAGTGAAACTCTTCTCCTTCTGTATGTAAAGTAAAAAGAAAAGCAATCATGTGATTGCTATGACTTAAAACTTACCGTTAGTTCAACTACAATTAGAGAAAATGCCGTTTTACATCAAGAGGGACATCAAGCAAATCTCAGACCCTTTCTTACAAAAATTTATTCATTTTATCAAATAAGATGATAAGAAAATAAACTTATAGGCCAGTAGCACAAAATTTATACTACTGTATTATGACATTAAAAATATATTTATGCAGAAGAAAGGAAACAGTCCTATTAACCCACCTACATAGAAGTGGGTTAAAAGAACTACTAAAACCATTAGTCATGGTTTTTCTGTAATCTGATGAACAAATCAATAGTTTACTGTCAATACAGTCAATGTATTTACATATACATTGTAAAGTCCTTTGTTTTCACCTCTACCCATCTCTTTAATCTTGTTTTCTACTCATCATTCTACTTGAGCCCTGGGGAACTATAGTTTTTACCTTTGTGTGTGTTCAGTACACTGTATGCTGTGGAGTATTTCTAACTTCATCTAGCTAACTCCAGTTCATCCTTCAAAATTCAGCTCAGCTGTTAACCTATTTTAACCACCCCTCCATCTTTAGCTCCCTTACTGTGTGTTTTCACTGCACTCTAAACATATCATTTACACACTGTTGGAGAGAGTAACTCTTTGGGCAAAAAAACAAAAACAAAAACAAAAACAAAAACAAAAACAAAACATACCTGCTGGAGAAACATGAGGACAGCTGCTCATTTTTAGCAACTTCAGAGTATCACTGTTGTTGGCCACTAGTACTTTGAGGGATGGATCATCTACTGGAGTATCATCTATCTTAAGCGAGGACAGGGATTTGGAGTTTACAAACACAACTGTCAGTGCAGAGATAAAGTGAGACTGAAAAGCAAAAAGGTTAAGACACTGTTTTAAATTTCAGAAATAACTCAGGGGTTTTCAGATAACATGAGATATGGTTCACTTGAATCCTAATGGTGTACTTCAAAAATTAAAGAACTAGCACCACTGTGCTCTGTTATTGCATATAAGGTTTAAAAACAAAAAAGCTATTAGCTGTTATCTTTTTTCTTTTGCGGAACTAGAGATTGAACTCAGGCCCTTGCACTTGCCAGGGAAGCACTTATTCCACTGAGCCATCCCCTGGCCCTATTAGCTGTTATCTTTGTGAGAGAACATTTTTTCTTGTAATTTTCTTTTAAAAAACTTGTATTTATTTATTTTGGTACAGGGTCTCACTATGCAGCTCAGACTCACAGTGATCCTCCTGTCTCAGCCTCCCGAGTTCAGATTACAGGCGTGTGCCACCATGCCTGGTTTCGGCTGGCATGGTACACCTCAGGTTCCAGGGCCGGCAAGGCACGCAATACTAGGGATCAAAGCCAGGTCCTTGTGCTTGCCAGGTAGGCGCTTAGACTGCTGAGCTATCTCCCCAGCCCAAGAGGAATCTTTTTACCCATAGGTGAATATCAAGCCTTCAGAAGTCTCTAACTCACAGTAACCAGTGGTAAATAAAGTTAGTCTGGAAACCTGTAGGAGGAGAATATCTTTCTGATACTTTCCTTCACCATATCTAGTAACCTTACTCATGTTTTGTGCCACAGAACTGCATAAAATGATTGCCTTAAAATAGCACTAGTGAGTGGGGTGTGGTGACACAGGTGTATAATCTCAGTGCTCAGAGAAGGCTGAGCAGAAGGATGCCATGAATTCAAGGCCAGGCTGAAGTACATAGCAAGATCCTGACTCAAAAAAAAAAAGCAGAATTACAGGCACAATCATTAAAAAATCAGTAATGATCCATTGAAAATCTATTAACTAATCTGAAACATGGCAGCGTATAATAAAATATGGTTCCAAAATGACCAACATTATACTTAAAAAAATTTCAAATGTAAAACTCTCTCAAACATGTTAAAATTTTCAAGGCTTGCTTTTGATTTTAATGTACCTTGCTACAAATATACCAATGAGTATCTTTCAATGTACTATATACATGTTAAGCATCTGACGGACTGTAATCAATAGGGACCACTGTAGGGAAAAAAGAATTACAGCATATTCATATAAAGTATATAATTTAGAATCAGAGGTGAAATAAGCTATAGCCAATGCACAATCTGGAAGGGTAAGGAAAGAAAGACTAATACATGCTCCAACACATTTCTCTATATAACCAACCTCAGCTTTATATTCTCTACAACAGGACCAAAGGTTGAAGGCAAGTTAACAGATAAGAACTACGATAAATTCTACCTTCTTTATTTTTTTTATTTTTTTATTTTTTTTGCGGAACTGGGGATTGAACTCAGACCCTTGAGCTTGCCAGGAAAGCCCTTATTCTACCGAGACATCTCCCTGGCCACGATAAATTCTACTGTCTTAGTCACATTCCCTACTGTTGTCTCCCTCAACCCTGACTGTGATTAACTGGCTAATGATTTAAATTTGATTAAATAACTTTACTTAAATGTTAACATGTTTCTCATAATATTTTCAGATCAAACTCAACTACTGTGCAATCACATTTCTTTACTATGCATGTCTGTATGTTTTAACTATGATCAAGTAACTTCTTCTATGGTCAAATACATTTCTTGTTATCTTTACTTTCCTTGGGATTTCCAAAATATAATACCTAGTTCAGTCTTTTCTATAAAACCCTTAATAGGAAAAGGACAAAATTAAGCATACTAGATCTATTTAATAAGAAGCAATCATAGCTGTATCAATGGCTTTCAAGTAGCACTAGATTTATGCAGTAATAACCCCAGATAAATCCAGAAACTATGATCAACATACTCTTTAAAATAGTATCTTTTATATAAAGCATACATGTAAGTATATGAATTTATCAGCTACACAGGCACACAGAAAAATTAACCTGTAACATTTCATTTCCCATATAAAGTTTGAGGAGGGTGTACTGTATTGTATAAACTAGTAACTTAGGCATCTTTATCAACTGCCTTATTTTTCTAACTTAAGAGGATATTGTGGTTGTGAAAGACTATATGTACCGAACCACATTCAAACTTATATATGAAAGTGAACAGTTAACTCTCCACATATATGGCTGTTCTGTTTTCTGATGCACCTCTCAACGTTACTTAAATTACTTTAGCTCTTCTAGAGAATCATCTCAAAATTCACTTAATCTCTTAAGCTTCCCAATCGCAAAGCATTGTTTTTAAAAATATGGTTTCTCAACATTTTAAACTATAATTTGTTTTCCATTATTTTTACTACTTTTCTTTTACTCCCAATAGAGTAAGTATATAGGCTTTCACGAATTTTTCAGTAACAGCCAATAAAACAAAACCAGGAGATACCTTTGGTAAGTCCATAAAGCTTGGCCGAGCAGTTGAAATAAGTCCAAGTGTTTTTAAAGAGCAATTCACAAGCTGTGATAATATATCACAAGCTGCTTCAGCTGATTCTTTGCTGCTGTCCACCTTAATAAAGAAAAGATCTTTTATCCATGCATATATTTATACTTCTCTGTGCATATCTTAATTTTTAAAAAGAAAGTTATTAGTTTATTGCATTACAAATGTAAAGAAATTTACCCTTTCAATTAACCACTCTCCCCTACAACTTCAGGCTAATAAATGCAATTTTTAAGACAGCAGTCATTACAATCTTCTATTTAGTGCTGATTAAATCAAACTGATTATAAACCAATGGAATAATAAACTACGGTCTTTGAAAAGCAGTTACATATTTGCAGATCAAATAATACATGTAAGTACAGTATCTCAGTATCTATGGCAAACATTTCAAGGCAGCAGAAACTAATGACTACTCAGAATGTTCAGATGAGCCAAACTTGGAATTCATTAATATTCTCAATGGAATGATGTATATAAAGTAAAATAAGATCCCACAACTCTGGGTAATTGAGCCCAACCTGAGCAACTTAGCAAGACACTGTCTCAAAATAAAAAAGAGCGAGATATGCAGCTTGTGCAAAGGCCCTGTTTTCAATCCTAGTACTATAAAAGTAAAAAAAAAAACTAATAATTAATTAAAATGGTGCTTAATCAAGCAGGGAAATCCGACCCAAGAGAGGTAGCTATTCTCATATTCATCTGCCTAGATATTAACACATTTCCTGGAAGGATGATATTACCAGAGGTACATAAAATAATTTTGAAAAAATGCTCCAGGAGGGGTTTTAAAAGTTACTTGTGGGCTGGGGAGATAGCTCAGAGGTCTAAGCAGGGTTCATTCCCCAGTACCGCATGCTGTGCTGGCCCCAGAACCACAGGTGTGCCATGCTGGCCACTGACACTGGACATGGTGGCACACACCTATAATCCCAGGCTGAGACAGGAAGATCACTATGAGTCTAAGCTGTGTGACACCCTGTGCCAAATAAACAAACAAACAAACAATAAATAAATAAATAAAAGATTTTTTTTTTTTTTTGAAGTCATTTGTTCCCTGGGCTAAAAAAGTACCTTGAAACAACAGTTCAAAGTAACATCATTATTCTAATTTCCGGATTCATGTATATGACTTTATTCCAATACTGCTTAAAAGCTGGTATAAAACACAAATTTATATTAAATCTAATACACTAATTTATATTGCAATTTCAGAGGTATTTATAATAACTACCCTTCAGTTAAGTTTCTTTACATCAGTGGTTCTCTAAGCACAGTTCCCAAACAAAAGCATCAACACGACCTGAGAACTTAAGATGTGCACACTATTGTCCCCAACCCAGACCATCTGAATCAGAAACTCTGTGGATGAGACCAGTGAACTTGGTTGTTTCAAGCCCTCCATGAATACTTGCACATAAACTTTGAGAAACACCATTCTAAGACTAGTAACTGATTACAAGCCAAATCTACAGTTAGTGATGACTTAAATATTTTGGAGAACTGAGAAGAGTTCTCTGACGTCTCTTTTCTAATGTATAAATCAGAAATTATTTCCTCAGGAAAACACAACCCTGATAAAAATGTTAAATGTACAGCCGAAATGATTTTATAAGGGTTACACAAGTTGGATACACCTAAATTGGGTCACAGGTCTGTGAAAGAATAAAACTGGCCCAGCCAATCTACTGTACTGAATTGATCTTTAAGATCTATCAAGTGAGTGTTTTATTTTTTTTAACATTTGCCATTAGAATACTCTTTGGCACCTCAAAGATGACTAAAACCAAAGGAAAAGCTCTTCCTCTAGGAAAGGGAAACAAGAGTTCCTGGATTTTTGTTCTCCCACCACTCTGGTACCTTTGCCCCTAGTTAAGATTGTTAGATAACATACAAGACACCCAATTAAATCTGAATTTTAGGTAAACAACAATTTTTTAATAATAAGTATATTTGAGGGCCAGGGAGATAGCTCAGCAGAATAAGCGCTTCCCTGGCAAGCACAAGGGCCTGAGTTCAATCCCCAGTTCCACTAAAAAAAAAATAGTAATAATAATAAGTATATTTCAAGCATAGAATATATCTATACCAAAACTTATCCATTAATTATCTGAATTTCAAATTTAAGTAGCGGCCTACATTTTTGCCTATTTTTCTAGGAAGAAGGCCACAATCTATCCAGCCATTCCTATTACCAAGTCCCTCCTTCTTGGAAACCTATGGGAGAATAAGCAAATAATCTCTACATAAGAAGAAATGGTCGAAGTATAGACCATATATAAGAAGTAAAGCCATGCTGTTATGTTGAGCTGTAGGGGACTCAGGTCAACAATTTCTGACATTGCCAATGAAGCGAAGACCCAATACTATTATGGACTATTGGACTCTTTTAGAATATTTTGCTGAGTTAACACATCTATAATATTCAAATAACAGAACTAAACAAAAAAAGGGAATAAAGATGAATGTCCATTTTGTATCTGTGTATTCAAAATGGTTAGGATAGATACAGTTACCTTCTCTTAATGAATAGAGGGATTTGTTCTAATAGTGTTTGTAAATAGGATATCATGTCCACATCTTGTACAGCAATTAACCACTAGGAAGAATGTATGCAATGTGTGAATTATTGAAACTGTCCTACCAATTTGGTTTGAAACTGTCTCATTGCTATTTGTTTCTCAATAAAATTATGGGGGAAAAAAAAAAGATGAAATGGCATTGTTAGAAGGAAGATGAGCCTTAGTTTGGTAAAAAGCTGCTTTAGTTATGATAAGAAGTTCTAGGTAAAGAAATCTGACCTAAGTAACTGGTACGATGGAGTAGGCATTCATGCAGTGCCACTTTCCAACAATTATCAATTTTTTGCTACAAAAAAACTTAATTCAGTGGTCTACGAAGCATGTCCGTATTTCATTATTCATGTCCAACACAGTATGAGAAGACTCAACACTCACTCCATTTTTTCTTCTAAGTAATCTGGACATCTCAAGGACTACCATATTTCATTTATCTTGGGGCCGGGGAAATGGCTCAGTGGAATAAGTGCTTGACTGGCAAGTTCAGGGGCCTTAGTTCAATCCCTGGTTCTGCCCACCCTCTCAAAAAAGGACATTTATCTCATCATTGCAAGATTTTCAAAATGTTCCTTCAAGCAAAGAAAAGTGAGCAGTTCTCTATGGCATTCTTCTACCTATTCTTTTCTACTTTTCTCTAAAATATATTCCTCTAAACCTTTTAACTAGTTTCTATACAACCTTTGTATCTGAAGATCTCATATATCAAAAAGCCAGAAAAATAAATAATACCCCCTATTAAATAGCAACTGCAGTTAAGTTATGCTCCATAGTACGGTACAGTAATATCCACAATCATAATCTCCAATTTTTATTATTTCACTGTATATTCCTTTTTCCTCAAATGTGTTTGCAATAATTCACTGTTCATTTGGAGCTTCGGTCAATGGTTGATACTTATTTAGTGGATACTTTTGTTCTTTTAAGAAATTACTAATAACGAAAATGGAGTCATTTAGTCCCAACAATTAATATAATTATTTGTGATGTGATGGCCTCTATAATATGTTAAATTTTAAATCTTTTAACAAGATCACAATGGGCCTTCTGAACCACCAGTGGGTCCAGCCAGCATAAGATGTTATGCATTTTCCTTTAGCCAAATATTTTGAAGATATGAGATGCACTGAGTAGGACATCAACAGCCACGAAAAATACTTTGCTTTTAAAAACAAGGGTGTAAAATATTACCTTGAAGCTGACATACTGTAGATGGTTTGAATGTCTTTTAATGATCTGTTTGATCAACTCTGGATGTGTAGCTTTCAAATATGATGTAGCTGGCTGATTCAGTTCAAATTCAAAACATCTCCACAAGTCAGGCATGTGAAATACCTGATTCCAGCTGCGGCAAACTTGTGAGGCATGAGCCCGGTCAAGAAGAGGCAAATATTTAAATACTTGGAGAATAATGTCCTGAAGGAGATTTCCCCAGTCACACGTCTGAGAATGCTCATTTGTAGTCCTCATTTTCTTCGATTTTTCTGTAGTACTCTCTTCAGAAGAATTATGGTCACTATCTCTTCCTCGCTTCATCCTGTTCAGAGAAACATTACTTTTTTTACTTATTTTTTAAATAGAAGTAAATTCAAAATTCCTTTCATCACTGAGATGTCTATTTGTTGCACTTAAACCCAAACACGCACAGACTGCACTAATAACTCAAGAATACCAAAATAAAATATAGTGAAAACTACCTCTGGAAACTAAAGGTTATAGTCTGCTAACTAAAATGGATATAGAAAGGAACCTACAATGGTATCTTCTAAAGATTTGTAATAGTCATCTAAGCACATTTGAGGGGGGGTCTGTGTGTGTGGTACTGTTGATTGAATACAGAGATGCTCTACCACAGAGCTACATCTCCAGCACCTTATTTTGAGACAGAACTGGGCTAAGTTACCCTGGCAGGATTTGAACTTGTACTATTCTGGCTTCAGCCTCTGTCACTTCTGGGACTGCAGGTGTACACCACCAAGTACAGCTTATATTCGCATTCTAAAATGGATTCCTGCAAAACCTTCAAAGAGGATATGAATTAAGTAGCCAACAGATTTGCCGAAGTAGTCTTGATACCTGCTACCTGCCAGACATTTTCAATCTGTACTTAAAGTAGGCAAATCTTACATGGGGGTATAACCCAGTGCTAGAATGACAGGCCCCAGGTTCCACCTTTAGCATTTGCCAAAAGAGGAAAGGAGGAGAAAGGAGAAGGTCCATCAAATTATTGTAATAATTAACAATGGATGGTTACAGGTGCCTTTTTTCTTCCATTTTTATGTATTTGGTACAGGTCTCACTACGCAGCCCGGACTCATAGTGATCATCTTGTTTTCAGCCTCCCCAGATTACAGGCATGCACTACCACACCTCGACTCCTTCACCAGCTCAGCACGCCCCAGGGGCGGGGCCAGCACAGTGTATGGGACTGAGGATTGAACCCTGGTGCCTGTGCTTACCAAAGCAGGCACTTCTTACAGGTGTCTTTTTACCCCAATATGTGTTTTCTTTCTACATTTCATACATTCCTTTTAAAGGTAACTCACTATATTATATATCAAATAAAAGAGGTCCCATTTTGTTAGCTGGATAAGTACAATGGGTTCTAAATGAGTAGATACTCATTAATATGCATGGCCTGCCTTACTTTTGTTTAGAGAAAACAGGTCTGGCAGAGTGGTAGTTTGGACCTAGACTTGGAGTCATCATCTTCCAAGAAGGCTAGCTTATACCAACTAAGTTATGGCACATCAGCATGTAAGAATTTCTCATTCCTGTGTGGGATAAAGGATATCCCTGACTAAGCAAAGTATGTCCCTGCAGATTTTCTCCACCCAGTAGCTAGCATAACTTGTGAGGCAGCTCGACACTGAAGAGCAAAAGGCAGATGGCAGTCTAGGGGCCTTCACGCCATGAAGATCAGCCCAGTAGGTCTTAGCCTATGTCGATGCCTATTCCACAATGCTCCTACTTACTTCTAACTATGGCAATAAAGTGAATTAAGTGATGTATATATTATTATACAGTGGGAGAGAAACACAGAAGACTAAACAACAAGTAGTTTTTATGGAACACTAAAACATATCTTTCTAAAAGGAGACTTAAAAAAAACACGTTCAAAGAAAAGGTTGCATACAATTCTACAATGTAATCTGTAACATAAAAAAACCTCCTACAATATAATATTGTCCAACTAAAGTCAACACTTTGTCACCACAACCCATTTTTCTGCTTTATCTTGAAAGCTAACTTTACTTTTGGTATATATAACAGTCTGCTGCCCAGAGTTTACAGTTTCTCTTTTGATTACATAAAACTACATTGAATTCTGAGATACAGATTCAAAAAGAAAGCAAGCCGTCTTAATTGCTAATTTTATTATAGAATGCTGAATGCTTCTTTATGGAGACTTCTAAAATCAGAAATACTACATTTAAGCACAGATTAGTTCATTTTAATAAAGTATTTATGGATAGGTAAAAATAAAATGTCAGACTTATTCACAAAATAATAAAATTTGGTGGTCATAATACTGGGAATAGAACGTTTCATCTCTCACAGTCCTGTTTTAAGTAAAGTCTATTTCAATACCTTTCCAAATTCAAGAAAAAAAACTGTTTTGAGACAGAGTCTGCTATGCAATTTCTGCCTCACTTGTTCTAGTGCTGTGGCATGGGCCACTACATCTGGCCATGAAGTTGTTTTAAATATTTTTAACAGTATGTAATACTCGGATCAAGTATATCTTAATCTAAATAAAAGACTATATGACCACTTAGGTAAATTTTTAGTACTCACTAGTTTATGAACAATTGAATAAAAGTCTATGAATTGTGGTATATATATATATATATAGACACAATGTAGTCATACAGCATGGTAAACAACAGAAAACTGTAAGGCCAATGCCAATAAAAATGCCATCTGTACTCTCATTCATGAAAATTACATTAATGAGTGGACACCTAATAAAAGTTTTCATCAATTTTTTCAAGTTAGTCTCACTCATGCCAAAACTTCCAATACTTTCAAAAGCATGGATTTCATTAAATCTCTTTACACATAAAGCTTTATTGTACGGAAAATTCAATAATTCAGAGTATCCACTCACCTGCAAACAACTTAGATTTTTAAATGCAACTTTATCTCTTAGTTTTAGTCAAAGTGAAAACAGTTCTCATGCACAAACAGGAGAACGAGGACCAATCTGGACAGTAAGTGCCAATGAGACGCTCTTAAGCACTAAAAAGCCAGGTGGAGGGCTCTGGTAGTTTAATTTTCTGTAGTATTTCTGGGCCACAAGTAATGCAACTTCTTGAGTAAGAATTTTTCGTGATACGACCAGCAAATGCTCAAAGCAAGCTCATGAGGAAAAACTAGAACAACAGCACCACCAGGAGTTAGGGCGCTAACCCGACGATTCTGACTCTGAAAATCAACCCGATGTGCTGCTGAAGAACACAACACTTTCTTAGGTGGCCCTCAACATATCTGGTACCTATGTAGCAATTGTAAAAGCTCATTTGTACCAGCCCTAAAGATACTGCTTTGGCATAATAATTCCTTTATGTCCTTTGTGTGCCGCGCTTTAATACAAGGATTAAAGTGCGTTCTTTTACAACAGACTCTCAGAATGGTAAGGGGGAACACTAGCGAAAACCTGTCCAGAGTCGCGTACGGATAACTAGGAATGGATCCTATTTTGATACACAGTTCAAGAAGAATCGAAATCAGCATTTTTTACAAGAAAAAAATCTAAAAGATCTGGGTTACTACTCCCTTGGACACCTCTAACAACAAGCACCACCACCACCGACTCGAGCGCGCGTCTTGGCAAGGGACGCAGGTCCGTCACTGACCCGGCTGCTCCCCGATCTCCGCCTGCAGCTGTCCCTCAAAGCCCTGCTAAGCCCAAGGCAGGCGCCCAGCCGCCCATCACAAGTTGACCAAGTTTCCGTGCGGCCGCGCGGCGGGGCGTCCCCTCCCGCCCGCGCC